TTTTTTATATTAAATATTAATTTGAATTATTTCTTGGAGATGAGATGTTTATGCATAGAAAACGAGGCTTGTTTAGGACAAATAGTTGATTAGGGTCTTTATTTCATTAGTTGATTGTTGGCAATTAAAGTTGTTGATTTGTTGAATTTGGTTGTGTTACTGGAATTAAAGATTTGATGCGTTAGTTGGAGGTTAATCCATAAAAGTTTCAAAATCTTTGACCACACACCATGCATGACCACAATATGCACTTGCACACCCACACAAATATAATTGTAGTTTGAATTTGTTTTTTATTTATTTATTTTCCATTTTTGCTGGTTGGTTGCTTGTATGATATCTAGAAGCAGCAAGTGAGTTTTTTCCCATTTCTTTTTGACTTTGTTTGAAAGGGGTGCCGGGTAGGGGGGGTAGGGGGAGGTGAATGGTAGGTTGGTGCCATAGTTTTTTAATAGACAGTCATCATTTAATTTATTAAAATTTGAATGAGCTACTGAAACTGAATCTTGGGATTTCCTGTTTTTGAATCTTTTTCCAGTCTTTTCTACTTTTATATATTGTATATTCTTGTATTCATGAAATAAATGGATGTTTCCAGGCGATATTCGTTTGTTCTTCCTTTGTGTTCTTTCCCTTTTCTGCCATATGCAGTCACTGCCGAGAGTTATTAGTGGGTCCACCATTATAAATTCTGAAGAATTAATAAAGTATGGTTAATTAGATAGCATGGTGTTTCATATTTGAGAGGATGTTTTGAGCTTTTTTTGGTTAATCCCCTCAAAATCCTTTAATTTTTTGAATTTGATACCTTTTGAGAATTTTGCTCTGTAAATTGAGTAATTTGAGTAATTGGAGCTGGATATTTAAGGTTATAATTGGATTCTAAATCTATCTCAATTTTTATGGATGTGATTTATCTGCTAGGTTTGCATGTGTCACTACTTCATGTTTTGGCTTTTTGATGTTGTGATTGTGAGCTAAGTTTGTTAGGCGTAGACTGTTTCCTATTAGCATCAAATAGTAAATTCTGGTTCCATTGGGAAGTAGAATTTATTTTGTTGACAGATTCTCATAACTGATCAACTTTTGATATCACATGTTTGAACTTTGAAGTGATAAAGCTTTTTACAAAATTTCTTGGTGTAGTGTCCAGTTTATAAAAGCTTCAAGTTATACGCCTAAATCCTAAACGAATTCTGTTTCATTTAGAAGTCAGAAATTTCACAAATTTCATTTGATTAGTTAAAATATACATGGGCAAATATATGTCAGAAATAATTTTAGATCCATGTTCCTTTATGTCCCTTTGCTTGATACATTCCTAATCTTTATATACAAAATGCTCTCTCAGAATGAACCTATGCAATATTTATTTCCTCTTTTTGAGAACAGCACTTTAAATGTCTTGGCATTCATACTGTAGGTTTAGTTCTTTTAGGTACTGGTCAGAGGGAGAATTGCCTTCTAGATCAAATTGCCTTCTAGATCAAATCGGATCTCTTTTCAAGGTTGGACCTTTTTGTTTGTATTTGTTCTGCTAAATGCAAAGGCACTGTCCATATGTGTGTGTGTGTATGTGTATACTCTCTCTCTATCTCTCTCTCTCTCTCTCTCCCTCTCTCTCTCTCTCTCTCTCTCTCTCTCCCCCTCTCTCTCAATAAAAAGACTGGTGGAGGCATTTCTGTTGATATTAATATTGAATTGACATGTAACTTATTCTATGGAGATAAATATGGAGCTTCTGCTCCAATTATTTTCATTAAGAAAAACAGCGTGAAGGACCCTAATACCTAGAGATATTAGCAGATACAATCCAAACATAAACAAAACTCAAGATATCTAGAAATATGTTTTGCGACGCCCAGTATTTACCAAACCAAATAATTCGCCATATTAGTGCGCAAGTTTTTCACTGATTTCCATATCCATATATTAGGTCTCTGATGTGTATGTGCCTCCTTCGTGTCAGTTCATCATAAACGATCACCTAATTTTCTGATCAATCACTTGCACGAATCATCATTTCACAGAAGAAGTTACAAAGAAGCTG